TTGGGAGGCTGAGGTGGGAGGATTAGTTGAGGGCAGAAGTTTAAGACCAGCCTGAGCAATATGGCAAGATTTCATCTCTACAAAAAAATAATGAAAAACAAAATTATCAAGTCATAATAGCAGGTGCCTATAGTCCCAGCTACGTGGGAGGCTAAAGCAGGTAGATGACTTGAATCTAAGAGTTCAGGGTTGCGTTGCAGTGAGCAATGATTATACCACTGCACTCTAGCTTGGGTGGCAGAGCAAGATTCTGTCTCAAAAAAAAAAAAAAAAAGGAAGGAAGAAGAAAGAAATCAGCACTTACCCACACAAGTGGTAACAGAGACCCCTTGCTTCAGGTGTAGTACTTGTCAGGAAGATTAAAGATTTTCCTCAAAAAATTTAACTCAAAAATATAAGCATAGGCACATTATAGCTAATTTCTACTCCTTCATTATATGGGCCCAGTAGACAGTTATATTTAGCAGGCACTGGTCAAATAAAAATTATCATTGTGCTGTCATAGTGTCATTTATGCCTATAGAATCATAAATATGTCTGTTCAATGTGGTTAATCTTTGATCATTTTGCCCATAAACATAGCCAACTCCAGTCTGAACATAAACCTGGGAGAGAGAATGCCTAGCCCTCAGTGGGGGTTTTAGATAATCAACAGTTATAATTAATAGGATGCTTACATGGATTTTCTAAGTAAGATTATAGAGAAATTGTTTGAGAGGACACCTACATAAGATGTATTTTGTTATGCCAGTTCAAAATCCTTGAATTTCCCTGTATTGTGTTATATCTTTGTTCAAGAACATAGAAGGCAGTGATTATGCTGCCGGCCAAAAACAGCATGGGAGTAGGCTGAAGGGCAGCGTGAGTGAAGCGTGTGACTGGGGAAGGGGCACTGGGAAGGTGGCAAGTGGAGAAGGAAACATGGCGGAATAGGGCTTGGCTGAAGGTCAGCGCTGTGCAGTCAGCAGTAGGTAGCAGGTCAGTAGGTTGTTGCCAAGCGCAGGGCCTGACACTTCATAGGTACAAAATAAAGAAGTATTTGTTGAAGGAAGGAATGGATGATGGTTAGGGAGAAATGAAAATTGATCCTGCAGGAAAATTGGAATCCTACTTTAGCCCCACTGACTTCAGTTCTCATACTTTTGTCTTCCTGACCTTGGGTTCCTGACCTGAGGTTTATTGTTAAAACACATATCTGTTGTTTTAGCGATAGGTTTATTGTTAAAACATAGGTAGTTTATATTTGAACTTGTAATCAGAGCTGGGAAATAGGAGGGCTGGGGGAATACTCTGTTATTTAGAGGTGTGGTGAATATACCTGAGTATTCAGAAATTTAATTTCTTTTTGTCTTAAAAATTGTAGCAGAGTAGATGTGATCACACCTAGCTCCTGAATAACACAGCCATGAGTGACATGGGTGAGCATTTCTGTCTGACAGGTTGAAAGGATGCACTTACTTTCCTTGTAAGAAAAGTCATCTGGTAAGATGATCAAGAATGGTTTATAGGCTCCGCGCATGTGGCTCAAGTGGCTAAGGCACCAGCCACATACACCTAAGGTGGCGGGTTTGAATCCAGCCCGGGCCCGCCAAACAACAGTGACGGCTGCAACCAAAGAATAGCCGGGCATTGTGGTGGGCGCCTGTGGTCCCAGCTACTTGGAAGGCTGAGGCAGGAGACTCACTTGAGCCCAGGAGTTGGAGGTTGCTGTGAGCTGCGAAGCCATGGGACTCTACCCAGGGGGACAGCTTGAGGCTCTGTCTCAAAAAAAAAAAAAAAAAAAGAATGGTTTATAGCCTGGGCTTATCTGATTTTTTTTTTTAGTCAAATACTATACTGATCTCACATATGGTAGTGAAAACAGATGATAGAATCTGAAACGATACAGTGCCATTTAGGTTGTTATTTTTTATTTCCTTTAAAGTAACACATATTTGACCAGGAGTGAAAAACAGTGGCCAGTACTATGTGACTCTGGAAGGTGAAGTGACCCCAGGGCACTGCTGCTATGGACCTGAGTTTGGCAATGTGAGGAGGATGCAGCACGTGGTCACCTTTAGCTTGTCACCCTTAGAGCAGCAGCCCTCTGGCACGCCCTCACTAAGGGACTCGCTGGGGATGTTTCTGTAGTGGGGTGCCGCCATTTGCAGCATTTTATCTTATCTACGTACAAATGGGAGGCCCAGGAGTTCAAGAAATCCAAGAGGAGAAGTCCAGCTGCCTGTGAAAATGAAAAATGAGCAACTCATCTGGTCAGTGGTTCCTTGTCTCTGAAGTCTTAAAGGTTCTTCTCTGGGAGAGGAGCCTGGGTGTTGTAGTGACTTGAAGACACAGTAAGCTTCCTGTGGGCAGCATGGTTATGATTTTACATTTTTGTAAGGAGGATCCTCAGTGTGGCTGCTAATACTTATGTTCATGAAGCTGCCCTCCTCAGCATGGGTTCTTGAACATTTTTCGCTAGTCTGAAGTTATGGTGAAGGAGCAGAGTTTACCATTTGTTCTATATATAACCTATAAGAAGTAGCTGCAGTTACTCCTGCACTAGCCATTTGTGGGTGGCATGGGCTGTGAGGAGTGTGGTTTGTGATCCCTTTTCTCCCATGATAATAGTCAAGTCTAGTAACTATATTGTAAAAAAAAAAAAATGGTAACATTGTTTACAACTAAATTTAAGTTACACCCTATACTGTGTTGGTATATCATTGTATTCTTGTAAATGTAATATGTGTTTTCAAAGGAGAAGTTTGAGTGATGAAAAGCTCTCTAATGTGTTTCATGCAGTGTGTATTTGCATGTCTAACAGACACTGTTGTCAAGACATACTTTCAAAGGGGAATGTTTCAGATTTGGTGGTAACTAATCAAAGAAGTAAAAGTACTATAGTCATCTACAAGAGTTTGTACTTATAGGAAAGTGAGATAGAAACGTAAAAGCTCAACCAAGACAGGATTTTTTTCTTTCTTTCTTTTTTTTTCGAGACAGAGCCTCAAGCTGTTGCCCTGGGAAGGGTGCTGTGGCATCACAGCTCATAGCAACCTTTAACTTGTGGGCTTAAGCGATTCTCTTGCCTCAGCCTCCCAAGTAACTGGGACTACAGGCATCTGCCACAACCCCTGGCTATAAGGATTTTTTTTTTTTTTTTTTTTGAGACAGAGTCTTACTCAGTTGCCCTGGGGTTGAGTGCTATGGCACCATGTGATCATAGTTCACAGCGACCTCAAACTCTTGGGCTCAAGAGTTCCTCTTGTCTTAGCCTCCCGAGCAGCTGGGACTGCACATGCCTGCTACAATGCCTGGCTAATTTTTCTGTTTTTAGTAGAGATAGGAGTCTTGCTTTGCTCAGGCTGGTTTTGAACTCATGAGCTCATGCAATCCACCGACCTCTGCCTCCCAGAGTGCTAGGATTATGACTGTGAGCCACCGCACCCAAATAAGACAGGGATCTGGGCTTGGCGCCTATAGCTCAACCGGCTAAGGCGCCAGCCACGTACACCTAAGGTGGTGGGTTCGAATCCCCAGCCCGGACCCGCCAAACAACGACGGCTGCAACCAAAAAAAATAGCCCGGCGTTGTGGCGGGCGCCTGTGGTCCCAGCTACTTGGGAGGCGGAGGCAGGAGACTCGCTTGAGCCCAGGAGTTGGAGGTTGCCGTGAGCAGTAATGCCAGGGCACTCTGCCCAGGGGGACAGCTTGAGGCACTGTCTCAAAAAAAAAAAAAAAAAAAGACAGGGATCTGTCACTTGAGTAGAGGACTATGGCAGGCGTGGCTCACAGCAACCTCAAATTCCTAGGCTTAAGGGGTCTTACTTTTGCTCAGGCAAGAACTCCTGAGCTCATGGAATCCACCTGCCTTGGGCTCCCAGAGTGCTAGGATTACAGGCGTGAGCCACCACCCCCTGCCTGGCCATGCTTGTTGTTTTGAATTTGTACAATCACAGACATCTCCTTTGGTAAATTATTTTTATATCTAGCTAGTTAAAATTTTTTTTTTATCTTAGTTGCTTTATTTTTTACATTACCTACTTTTTGTTTCTGCCTGTACCACATGTGAGGATGCTGGAAAAGCTTATTAATATTGATAATGAGTCATATGCTTATCTGATATTGCAAAGAATAGATTTGGAAAGGAACTTAAGAAGCCACCTTTTGTTCAGCTTCTTGCCTAGGAAAACTGAGTAAGATGATTAGGTACATATATTTAATTAATCATTTAAAAAACTAGGACAGCATAATTGGGTTCCCTCTTGAGAAAACAGAGAAAGGTACTTAACCCTGGATATAAAGGGACTAACCTGAAAATTTTAAAACTTCTCTGTGGGAAAGTGAAGCAAAAATAGAGCACAACTCAGCTGCTCTTTGTTGATATCAGAAATGGGCCTGTCATTCATTCTGGCATTGAAGCATAGCCTCCTATCTCAGGGGGCAGGACCAGAACATTTTTTCCTCCCACAAGAGCTGGACAGTTATTACAGGTTCAGAAAGCCCTGACCAGTTTTTCAAGAGTTTCTTCTCCTTTCACCCCCCCTTGAAACGCGTGGTGCTTTTGCTCTGGTTTCAAGATGCTCTGAGTTCTGTGCTCGGTGACTGCTTTGGAGACAGCAAATACCCTGAAATGTATAATTCAAATTATACAGGATACAGGATACTTACAAGATGAGTAAGTTTCATCTTTTTTTTTAAGCTAGTTGAAACTCACGTGATATTTAGAAAAATGTTAACTTACATTTAGGCATTTTGTCATTTTACCTCTTGTACTTTAAGCATTTTTCTTACCCAGAAAACCCTTGTAATTTAGTAAGAAAGCAAGGTTTTACACTGAAAAGCCTTTTCATCTTTTAAGACCTGCACTTTCAGTTTCTTTTGAAGTGGCTTGGTTATAGACAGTTTTTATATATCTTTTGAAAACCAGTTAACTGAACAGTTTTCTTGAGCATCTTTTTAGTTTTACTGAGAAGTATTTTACATTGAGCTTTTCTGAGCTCGATTGCTTATGTCTGACAGAGTCTCAAGTTTCCAGTGAATGGTAACAAAGACTGTAGAGTGTTGTTGGTACTGCAGTGAGAGGCATGCTTCCTAAGACCAGGTAAGAGATCAGTTTGTTTCTTACTGCTGGGTGAGTTTTTATAGCGTTTATTTTATGTTCTTTAAACGGCAGCAATATTGAATTAATAAATAGCCAGGAGCACGCTGATTTCAAGACGTCCTTGCTGGTTGCAGACAGAAAAACTACAGGGTATGGGGGTTGGGGTGAGGGGGAGGGGTAGAGTTAGCTTAGTTTCCCTGTTACTTATATACATTAATCGAAATGTGAAAATTATTCTGGAGCTTAGTTTTCTTCATTCAAGAACCAGAGAAGCAGCTGAGGAAATTAATTTTAAAGGTATTTATGGTTATTACTTATGAAAGCAATTCAAATGATAGTTTTTACTTTCATTTTTTTCCCTAGTAGTTAATAAAATAAGCTTTGCCCTTAACTAAACATTTTTTCTATTTATGAAAACTTTTAAATTGTCAATAGCAAAATTTGCCCCCTTAGGATCTTTAGAAATCAACCTGACACTTGAAAAATATTTCAGCTCTCTTAGCTGTTTCATTCCTCTTTTTTCTAGTACATTTTTCTTAAAAGTATTTGTGCTTTGAAAATGTCAGCTGTATTCTAATGAAGCTTGGGCATTGTTTGCTCATAAAGGGGCCGATGCATTCCACTGCTTTATGGTTTATTATGAGGCACAGTGTGAGTGTGGGTGGCACCATTTGGTGTCTGCCTCTTGGGGTAGTGACTGCCATTATGTTAGCCTTGAATTGGCAAAGAAAATATAGCATGTAAGATGCTATATGAATCCAGATACTGTGAAGAAAATCTTATCCCTAAACAATTCTTAATGAGCCTGGAATGTGTGACAACTTGATTGAGTTGATCATTTCAAGTATACCCTTGAAGTCTGCATTTTAGTTACTAGTTATATTCTATTGGGCACATGTCTTATTTTTTGAGATACATTTTTCAGTCATTCTTTGAACTTCAATGAGGATGTGAATTTTTCTAAGTAAACTATGACATTTTAAATCAATACAATAAAATTTTAAATAATACATTTACTTAAAAAGTTTTAAGGAACTTGATCTGGGTGGGGAGGAGGAGTGGGAGAGGAGGTCAGGCGGAGAGCCTTTCTTTCAGTTAGGAAAGCCCTGATGAAAAAAAGCAACAGATGTTTCTTCTGTTACAATTGAGGTTGTTTCATTCAAAATTCACAGTAGCTGAAATGGGGAGAGGAGGTCATAAATCTGACTTAATCAGTGAGTAAGTAAAACTTGGTCATTTAAAATTTATTTTATATTCAACCTTTGAGAACTTTTAAGAGGCTTTTTGATCCTCAAAAATTGAGGGTAATTAATAAAAATATGAGAAAGTGAATTTTAGTGAATTTCAATTGTGGGGAAAAAAGATAATTAAACTGAACCGTAGAATATTTTTGAGAAGCCTAAGGCATATAAAATATATAGGAAATACTAAGGTTGCAAAAGTTTGTGATTGCACAATAAGTATAGAGGTGAAAAATGAAATTGAAATATGAAACATCAGTGGTATATGTTGATCATTTCATCTTCCGTTAGCAGCACAAGACTTACTCCTAAGACCTTTGAATAAAAAATGTGGGGGAAGTGTTTTAAGATTTAATTGAAATGATGTGTTGCAGTTTGCCTTTAAAAAGAAAGATAAAGGCTTAGATTGGTTGCTAATGAAAAGGGGGAGAATGTTTATCTCCTGGAAAGAGGAGGAAGGAAGAGCTTAGAAGCTCAATGCATATGATGAAAGCAGTCTGAATTTTAAAAACTAGTTTCTGAATTTGTAGAATTCATAATAAGTAAAACCTTTCCTTTGACAAGTAACACAAAGAAGTTCTATGCTCTTGTGTAATGTACAATTACGTGCATTTTTACATCTGTGTTTCTTAAAGTTAGCTCTTGAAAAATCAGCCCTGAGCACCAGATTTGTAACATAAGGGGCATTATTAAATATTTGCCATGCCCTCTACTTATAAAATTAGTAATTTATATTAGCTAAGAAATTCTTTAAGCTATAGTTTAAGATTTATACATAGATCCAATATCATATAGTTTTCTAAATAGATAGCTGGTCTAAGGTGAAGACTGGAAAAGATAACATTATTCAAGGAAATGCTTAAAAATTTCTCTTGCTCTTAGCTGGGATCTATGAGCTTCTCTGAAGATTTTCTTTTCTTTAGCTAACAATTACCGAATTTAGAGATCTCGAAGTCCATTGGATCATTGTTTTTAATTAAGATTCTAAAATTGATTTATGTATACTTCACTTTAAAAACAATAGCAAAATGTAGGAGTTGGGCTTTTTCCTCTTTTTCTAAAACAAGTAAAATAACTTATATGAAGTTTTAAATGGATTTACAAACTATAGAGTTGCCTAAAGTAAGACCTTTCACAATTTTGATCAAAGATTATAAATTTTGATAGCCTAAAAAAAAAGTTGGTGACCTTACATGTAATACATAACTATGATAGCATCACAGATTGTAGTTGTCAAAAATAGGTGTCGAAATTATGTAGACATGACAGTAAATTACTTAAGAAGTAAAGAGGCATCAGCAATAACAATGCAGAAAATGGTTGAGACTCCCAACCCTTCAAATTAAGAAATTAAGAGCAAATCAGTTGAATTATTTTAAGATGAATTTCCACTATTTCTGTAGATATAAATTATCATGGACTCATTGAATGTGTGTTCCAAGTTACAGTAGAGAAGAACAATTAGTTTTTACTCTGTATCATAAACCAATTTCTACTATGCTGCAGATTTTTACTTTGTATATGAGAAACAAAACCGGGTTGAGTTTGCTATCTATAAATTGATTGGCAGTATCTGAATTTAAAAAAAAAAAAGAGTGTGGCTCAGTGAGTAGGGTGCTGGCCCCATATACTGAGGGTGGTGGGTTCAAACCCGGCCCTTGCCAAACTGCAACAAAAAAATAGCCAGGCCTTGTGGCAGGCGCCTGTAGGTCCAGCTACTGGGAAGGCTGAGGCAAGAGAATTGCTTAAGCCCACGAGTTGAAGGTTGCTGTGAGCTGTGACAGCACTCTACCGAGGGTGACAAATTGAGACTCTGTCTCTAAAAAAAAAAAGCTAGGTGTTGTGGCGGGTGACTGTAGTCCTAGCTACTTGGGAAGCTGAGGCATGAAGATCTCTTGAGCCCAAGAGTTTGAGCTTGCCATTAGCTCTACAAGGCACTCAACTCCAGGGCAACAGAGTGAGACTGTGTCTCCAAAAAAAAAAAAAAATGCTGCCACCATCTAGACCAGTGGTTCTCAACTTGTGGGTTGTAACCCACAGGAGCTGTATTAAAGGGCCATGGCATTAGGAAGGTTGAGAACCACTGATCTAGACTTAATTCCTTAATTATCTTTCATTTCCAGCAAACAATTCAATCCACAGTTGATTTCGCTATCTAAAATATATATTGAGGGGTGGCACCTGTGGCTCAATGGTTGGGACGCTGGCCCCATATACCGAGGGTGGTGGTTTCAAACCCGGCACCAGATAACCATAACAAAAAAATAGCCAGGTGTTGTGACAGGCACCTGTAGTCTCAGCTACTTGGGAGGCTGAGGCAAGAGAATCACCTAAGCCCAGGAGTTGGAGGTTGCTGTGAGCTGTAATGCTACGGTACTCTACCGAGAGCGATAAAGTGAGACTCTTTCTCTACAAAAAAAAAAAAAAAGTATACACACACACACACACACTCTGAAAGAACTTTAATGTGACATTAACCTGAGTTCTTGTCTTATGAAGTCTTTCAGCACAAAACTGAGGTCTTGGGCAATCTTGTTTAACGTATTCATTATTCCCCCAAATCAGAATACCCAGAGAGTAACTGATTTAGCCATTCTCTCTGCCTTACATAGCAATTAGAAATAATTAATAGCTACTTAGACATTTCTCATCTCTGGGCGAGATAAGAGGTAAGTTTGCCTGATGCCTATATGTTTCTGAAATGAAAAATTGTTGCCATGACATTAGCCTAGCTTACAGCAACTTCAGACTCCGGGGCCCAAGCAATCTTCCTGCCTCAGCCTCCCAGGTTGCTGGGACTAGTTAATTTTTCTGTTTTTTGTAGAGATAGAATCTCATACTTAGGCTGGTCCCAAACTGGTTAGCTCAAGTGATCCTCCTGCTTCGGCCTCTCACGGTGCTAGGATTACCATGTCCAGCCATCCAACCAGTTTTTAAATGAATTTTTAGATGGTAACTCTAAAGCTGGAGACTGTCAGCGGGGAACATAGTTTTTTAACACTTTGCTCGCTTGTGGTGAAACTTGGGCAACTCTCTTGGCAATTTCTCTGACAGAGAAATGAAGAGATCTCTAACTGAGTACTTACTATGTGCCAGGTAGACACAGAAGAACTTATTTTGTAAAAGTTTGCCGAACATTTTTAGCAGATTATATTTTTAGTACAAAGAGGTTTTATCAACATTGATTTCTTGCACTTCACAGTCTGATTTAAATACAGAGTCAATTATAGTCCTTAAATGGAATATGTTGTTGAATTTAGAATATCAATAACTTACTGCAGTTTTAAATGAGCAACTCAGTATGGTACAATGGTCCCCTTTTTAATTTGTTAAGGAAAAGAACTGCTTTGAAACTCTTTTTGTTTATTTGTTTGTTTTTTGAGACAAAGTCTCACTCAGTAGCCCTGGGTGGAGTGCTAAGGATGTCACAGCTCACTGCAACCTCAAACTCTTAGGTTAAAGCAATCCTTTTGCTGCAACCTCCCAAGTAGCTGGGACTACAGGCGCCCACTACAATGCCTGGCTGTTTTTTTCTTTTTTTTAGAGACAAGGTCTTGCTCTAGCTTAGGCTGGTCTCCAACTCCTGAGCTCAGGCAATCTACCCACCTTGGACTCCCAGAGTGCTAGGATTACAGGCATGAGCCACTGC